GCTGGGTGGGGGAGACGCACGTGGACACCGCCACTGACAGGGGCCTTAGGTGGAGCTCCCCATGGGGCCACGAAGCGCTATGTGGGAGACGCATGTTGACACCGTCACTGGGGCCATAGGTGGAGCTCCCCATGGGGCAACGAAGCGCTGTGCTGGATGGGGGGGGACGCATGTGGACACCGCCACTGGGGCCTGGAGCCACGAAACGGTATGCTGGATACGAGAAACGCACGTGGACACCGCCACTGGGGCCTTCAGTGGAGCTCCCCGTGGGGAAACACGCTGTGCTTTGTGGGACACGCATGTGGACACCGCCATCTGGGCCTTAGGTGGAGCTCCCCATGGGGCCACGAAGCGGTTTGCTGGATGCGAGAAGCGCACGTGGACACCGCCACTTGGGCCTTCAGTGGAGCTCCCTATGGGGCCACAAAAGGCTGTGCTATGTGGGGGAGGCGCATGTGGACACCGCCACTGGGGCCGTCAGTGGAGCTCCCCATGGGCTCACGAAGCGCTGTGCTGCGTGGGGGAGACGCATGTGGACACCGCCGTCTGGGTCTGAGGTGGAGCTCCCTATGGGGCAACGAAGCGCCGTGCTGCGTGGGGGAGACGCATGTGGACACCGCCACTGGTGCTATAGGTGGAGCTCCCCATGGGGCCACGAAACGCTGTGCTGGGTGGGGGAAGCGCATGCGGACACCGCCACCGGGGCCTTTTGTGGAGCTCCTCATGGGGCCACGAAGCGCTATGAGGGAGACGCATGTGGGCACCGCCACTGGGGCCTTCAGTGGAGCTCCCCATGGGGAAGCACGCTGTGCTTTGTGGGGGACACGCATGTGGACAGCGCCACTGGGGCCATAGGTGGAGCTCCCCATGGGCCACGAAGCGGTGTGCTGGATGCGAGAAACGCACGTGGGCACCGCCTCTTTGGCCTTAGATGGAGCTCCCCATGGGCCCACGAAGCGCTGTGCTGCGTGGGAGAGACGCATGTGGACACCGCCGTCTGGGTCTGAGGTGGAGCTCCCCATGGGACCACGAAGCGCTGTGCTGCGTTGGGGAGACGCATGTGGACACCGACGCTGGGGCCTTCGGTGTAGCTCCCTATGGGACCACGAAGCGCCGTGCTGCGTGGGTGAGACGCATGTGAACACCGCCACTGGGGCCTTCGGCGTAGCTCCCCATGGGGCCACGAAACGCTGTGTTGGGTAGGGAGACGACGACGAAGACATGCGGAGGGCAGAGGCGGGGATGGGAGGAGGGAGGGGGGGAGGATGGAAGTTAGGAAGGAAGGAGGGAAGGAAGGAAGGAAGGAACGCGGGGACCGTCTCTTCAAAACGAGGACCCAACACCACAGGACGGTTGGGACATATTCAAAAATGGCTCAACAAAAATAATGGAAACATCGTCCCCAGACTATTGTTTCTCTTTTTGAATTTTCCTCCTGTAGAGGGACACGCCCGACTTAACCTTACCTTGACACCCCATCTGCTCACCAAAAGGCCAGAAGAGCAGCTGCAGGCCGCAGGCAGTCACGGGCTGCAGCCTGCAGCGGGGCGCTGGTAGCCCAGGGAGGGGGCATTGCCCACGCATTGGGCGAAGCTCCGAGCCCAGGCATGATCGCGTTGTAAAAAAATGAGGACGGGAGGTTTTTGGCAATTTTCGGCCTTGGGGGGCCCTCGCCGGGCCTCGGCAGCGCAAAAAACGAAGCAGGATGAAAAACCAGTCCTGGGGAACGGGTCGGGACTTCCAGGGACCCCGTCCTGGAAAAACCAGGACGTCGCATGTCTGGGCGGAGCATGCGTGCAATGCCCTCCACGTTGGCGATCCGCACCCGTCGTCGCCTCCGATGCAGCTGGGGCCCTCAGTCCTGCCTGGGGAAGGCCGGCACCGTGTGGTCCGTGCCCGAGACGACATGCTTCTCCCGCTTGGGCTTGGGATCCTGCAGATGCCTCGCGCCGCCGTCGGCTGGCCCGTCCTCGTCCTCGTCGTCGTCGTCGTCGTGCCCTCGTCGTCGTCGTCGTCGTCGTCGTCGTCGTCGTCGCCCTCGTCGTCGTCGTCGTCGTCGTCGTCGTCGTCGTCGTCGTCGCCCTCGTCGTCGTCGTCGTCGTCACCCTCATCGTTGTGGGAGCTTCTTGGGGCGCCCTCGTCGCAACGGCTGGACCCGCCTCGAAATTCTGGCCCGGGCGCGCCCCTGGCCGGGTCGGGAGGCGGCTGATCTGTGGGGCCCCACCCTGCGAGGCACCATACAGGAAAGGGGCCAAGGGACCCCCCCCCACACACACACACACACACACACACACACACACTCACACACACACACACACGCACACACACGCACACACACACACACACACACACACTCACATAGATAAACACAAATCCCAGGATTCCCCATCTGTTCCTATTTCTGGTTTTTCGTCATCCCCCGCACTTGCCATATTTCCTCACTTTTTCGAAGGGATCGACGATGAATCGTGTCAGTGTGTTTCTCTGGACGGGGCTCAACAGCTATTTCTCCCCGTGGAGGGTGAGGCGCTCGGCAAACAAAAATGTGTGCCTGTGTGTTTCTCCTCTCCGGATGCAGTCACAACTGACAGCATGGATGCACGATAAGGATGCAAGCCCCCCGGACGCTCATGCCGAGGCTCTTCGAGCGGGTCAAGGACGGACGAAAGAGGCCGGGATGGATGCAAGGGTAACCGATGGAAGGCTACCCATCCTCACCACTGGTTTCGACGGTAGCTCAGTCATCAGGCGGCTCGAAGCATGGCGGCAGCTGGTTCCTCGACGATCCAAGCAGTTGGGGGCTGGTTCCCCGGGGAACAGGCAACACCACAAGCATAAAAAACTCGCGCGAACGCCCAAGGACTGTCAACCAATACTACTCCGGATGAGAGGCTGGCATCAAGGAACAGGAAGGGATCGGGAGTTCTTGGGGGCCCACGTCTCGGAAGGGTCAGAGGGGCCGCGCAAGGAACCGACCAGTGTTGATTGAAGGGTCAAGGGAGACGCATTTAAATAGACACGAATCCCAGGATCCAATATTTGTCCACTGTGGAAAATTCCCACCCTCTTCCTCCGGAACCCGGGGGTCCCCCCTCCCCCCTCCGACCCCCCCCCCTGCTGGAACCCCCCCCGCTCTTCCCCCCGCTCTTCCCCCCGGCAAAATCCCCCCTCCCCTAACCCCCCCCCCCGCCCCCCTCCGAAAAACCGGGGGGGGTCACTACGGGTTCGAACCCCCCCCCCGCCCTCCAGAAAACCGTGGGGGGTCACTACCGGTTCGAACCTCGACCGCCCCCCCCCCAGCCCCCAGAAAACCAGAGAGGGGGGGGTCACTACTGTTCGAACTCCCCCCCCCCTCCAGAAAACTGGGGGGGTCACTACCGGTTCGAAACCCCCCCCCTCGAAAACCGAGGGTCGACCCCCCCTCCCCCCCCTCCGAAAACCGGGGGGGGTCACTACCAGTTCGAACCCCCCCCCCTCGAAAACCGAGGGGAGGTCACTACCGGTTCGAACCCCTCCCCACGCTCACCGCCAGCAAACGACTCCCGGGCCCTACCACCGTCCGCACCACATCCCCTACTGCTGTCGCCAGCGCCACTGTCCTCACCACCACTGCCCCCACTGTTCCCACCACCGTCCCCACTGTCCGCACCAGTGCTCCCACCACTGTCGCACTGTCCCCGCTGTCCCCACCACTGCTCCCACCACGGTTCCACTCTCCCCACTTTCTCCACGGCCCCAACCACTGACCCACTGTCCCCACTGTCCCACTGCCCCGCTGTTTCACTGTTCCCACCACTGTCCCCACTGTCCCCACCACTGTCCCCACTGTACATCTGTCCCATTAATTATCCCACCGCCGCCCTCGCCACCACCCTCACCACTGTCCCCACCACCACTGTACCCTCCACTGTCCCAGTATTTCCACCACATTCCCACTGTCCCCACACACCACTGTCCCCACCACCACCGTCCGCACCACTGTCCCACTGTCCCCACTGTTCCCACCATTGTCCCCGCTGTCCCCCCCACCAGTGTCTCACTGTCCCCACTCTCCCCGCCATTGTCCCACCACGGTCCCACTCTCCCCACTTTCCCCACGGTCTCCACCACTGTCCCACTGTCCCCACTGTGCCCACCACTGTCCCACTGTCCCCGCCTCTGTCCCACTGTGCTGTCCCACCGTCCCCACTGTCCCCATCTCTGTCCCACTGTCCCCACTGTCCCCACCACTTTCCCCACTGTACTACTGTCCCACCACTGTCCTCACCACCGCCTTCACCACTGTCCCCACCACTACCGTCCCCACCACTGCCCCACTGTCCCCACCAGTGTCCCGCTGTCCCCTCACCACTGTCCCCACCACCACCGTTCCCACCATTGTCCCAGCATCCCCACAATTGTCCAGCTGTCCCGAGGAGCGGGAATCGTTTGCCTGCGGCGACGGCGGGGGGGGTTCGAACCGGTAGTGACCCCTCCCCCCGTTTTCGAGGAGGGGGGGGGGAGTTCGAACCGGTAGTGACCCCCCCCCGGTTTTCGAGAGGGGGGGGGGGGTTTCGAACCGTAGTGCCCCCCCTCCCTTTTCATGAGGACTGGGGGGGGGGGGGTGGGGGGGAGGGGTTCGAACCACCAAGTCGTGTTTGACGGTCCTGCGGCCCAAAACGGCCACCAGGGGCCGAACAAAAAGGAAAAGGCCGGCAACAGAGCCCCAGCACCACCTGACAGCGGCTGCCGGCCCTCCCCCCCCTGTGAAGGCCGGGCTCGAAGCCCCGGTGCCCCAGGTCGACTCCCCCCCCCCAGCAACAGCAACCAGCAAACCCCAAGAACGAAACGGTGTGGTGGAGAAGGGGGAGGAAGACGCTTGGGGAGGAGGAGGGGGAGGAGGAGAGGGAGGGCGGAGGAGGAGGGGAGGAGGAGAGGGGGGGGGAGGAGGGGAGAATGAGGAGGAGGAGGAGGCGGGAGAGAGGAGGAGGCGTAGGAGAGGAGGAGAGGAGGAGGAGGCGGAGGAGGAGGAGGAGGGGAGGAGGAGGAGGAGGCGGAGGAGGGGGAGAAGGAGGAGGAGGAGGCGGAGAAGGAGGAGGAGGAGGCGGAAGAGGAGGAGGAGGAGCCCTCATCTTCAGCATCGTCACCATCACTGTCATCACCAGCGACGTCGTGCTAGACATTACCCCCAACATCGCCATGAGCACTATGGTCCTCGTCATGACCATGATCATGATCATCATCATCATCACCACCACCACCATCATCATCAGCATCATCAGCATCATCCTCACCGTCAGCAGCATTACCATCATCATCATCATCATCATCATCATCAGCATCATCATCATCATCATCATCATCATCATCATCATCATCATCATCATCGTCCTCATCAGCATCAGTCTCCGCATGCCCATCATCATATCATCGCCACCATCAGCAGCATCAGCATCAGCATCAAAACCATCATGATCAGCATAATCATCGCAATCTTTAATACAATATCGCCATCACGGCCATTTTGGACGCATCTTTGTCCGCTCTGGCGGCCTCCTTGAAGCCTCTTGTGAGCCTTTCGGGGCCGACTGGGAGCCATGTCGAGCTGACATAGGCGGGGGCAGCATCACCATCATAATAATCAGCAGAGGCATCATGATCATGATCATGATCAATATCATGATGATGATGGTGATGATGATGATGCTGGTCATCATCATCAGCATCATCAGCATCAGCATCATAATCATGCTAATAATCTTACTCATCATCATGATCATCACCATAATCATCATTAGCATGGTCATCATCACCATCACCATCACCATCATCATTTCCATCACCAGCATCATCCTCATCGTCACTATTATCAGCACCACCGTCATCACCATCAGCAGCATCATCATCACAGCATCATCATAATCATCATCTTCCTTGCTTCCCTCCTCCTCTTCCAACTCTTCCTCCACTTCTCTCCTCCTCCTCCTCTTCCTCCGCCTCCAACTCTTCGTCCACTTCTCTTCTCCTCCTCCTCCTCCTCCTCCTCCTCCTCCTCCTCCTCCTCCTCCTCCTCTATCTCAACCAGAAAACCCCCAAAAGGCTCCCAGAGAATCCCCAAGAAACCTCCGGAGAAGCCCGCAAAAGCCTCCAGAGAAGCCCCAGGAGGAATCCAGAAAAGTTTCCATCGGCCAGAAGCCCAAAAGGCCTCCAGAACTCCCAAGAGTCCTCCAGAACTATCCAGGAACTCCTAAGGGGCTTCCAGAATCACCAATCTGGAGCACAGAACCAGCAACCCAGGCCCGCCCGGGGGGGCCTTCGGGGAGGGCCGAAGGGGCCCCCCCCCCCCCCTTCGGCTCCTGGGGCGTTGTTGGGTTGCGGTTGCTTGGAGGTCGGGGCTCTGCGCCCGTCCCTCTCAACAAAACAGCAAGCCTTCACGCTCGGGCCCCCCCCCCCCCCCCTTCCTGCTCGCCGGTGCCAATGCTGGGCAACCTCAGACATCCAGCTGGCACCTAAGCACATACGTGACCTCCCAGACTGAGGCTGGTAACCAGCCCAATAGCCAATAGCACAGCAATCGACAGATGCTGGCCGTTTTCCTTGACCTCGAATGGGGGGCGCGGAGGGGCTACTACTGGCCCCCCCGTGGCAGTTGAGGCGGTCAGTAGTCAGCAGGCCCTCCTCGTCGTCCTCCTCCTCCTCGCTCCCCCTCGTTCCTCGTCGTTCGTCCGCCTCCTCGTTCCTCCTCCTCCTCCTCCTCCTCCTCCTCCTCCTCGTTCTTTCTCGTTCCTCTGCTCCTCTTCCTGCTCTTCCTCCTCCTCGTCTCTATTCAATATCATCCTCACCCTCGTCATCCCTCCTCGTTCTTCTTCGTCGTCCTCCTCCTGGCCCCCTCGTTCCTCCCTGTTCCTGCCTCTCCTCGTCCGTCCTCGTCCTCGTCCTCGTCCTCCTCGTTGCCCCTCCTTTCTCCCCGACCAGGGCCTCACGCGGTGCTGCTGGGCGGTGGGCGACTTCACCCGCACCGCACCGCGCACGTTCTTCTGCTCCACGTATTCGCGCCAGCCTCTGATAACGGGACACAGCACAGTCACACTTAGAGCGACACCATCCTGGAATGATCCCAGCAAGGCGCCATCATAGCAGCAACGGCGCAGAGAGTGGGTCGAGGAGTTGTCGGCTGAGGGCCCGGAAGCCGTGAGAAAGAACGGATGTAGCCGAGACAGGGCGGAGAGCACGGCCATGTGCGCCTGAATGTATCGTTTACAAGGGACTGTAGCCGTCCAGACTAGAACATGTAACATTGAGGCGAGGGCACGATTCCTGAATAAATCGCTCCCGCCCCGCCGGCCCTGGCTCCCGGCCCCAATCTAGCCCCGGCCCTGGCCCAGGTCCCGGCCTCGGCGCCCACCACCACCACCACCACCACCACCACCACCACCACCACCACCACCACCACCACCACCACCATTCCTTCTCCCTCCTCTGCCCTCTTCTTCCTCTCCTCTTTTCTGGGAGAGAGCATTCCTCGTCCCTCCCCATCCTCCTTTTTCCTCTCGTCTCTGCCGGGGGAGAGGGGGTGAGGGAGCCCCGTGGTCTCGGGATAAGCCTGCCTAGGGATTTTCGCCAGAGATGGGAATCGACGTGAAACGCAGTCGGCGCTCTCTTCTGGCGGCGCGTACACCACGAGGGTCTGGCGCGTACAGCTCTATGTCATCCGGGCGTTGCTATTTGTGTCGCGTCGTGCGCTTTCGCCAGGCTTCGCGGGCCCCCAACTCTAATTTTCCTTGCACACCATTACTGGTGACCCTACCACACCGCGATTTAAAACGTCGCTCGGCAAACCGGGAAACCCCACGGCTTCGGGCCCCCAGAACATCACGAAACGGTCGAGCCCGACAAATGCGGCAGAAAGAGGGGGTCAAGGGCTCCAGTCGCGATATGTTTCGCAATGCTGCCATTTTCGGGGATCGCGACGATGTGTTTCGGTGTTGTTTTCTCCTGTGTTTCGCGATATGTTTGCTCGCGACGTCGGAGCCAAGCGTAGGCTTCCAAGAAGGCTGGGGGCTTCGGAGAAGGCAAAGGCCTTCTTAGAAGGGCCCGAAGGCTCCCGAGGAGGCTTAGGAGCATACAGAAGGGCCTCGAAGACACCACCACCTGGGCGACGCCTCCTCCTCCTCCTCCTCCTCCTCCTCCTCCTCCTCCTCCTCCCTCTTCCCTCCTCCCTCCTCCCTCCTCCCTCCTTCCTCCTTCCCTCCTCCCCCTCCCTCCTCCTCCTCCCTCCTCCAGAAATGAAAATGCCATCCCCTCCTCCTCCCTCCCTCCTCCCTCATCCCTCCCCCCTCCTCCCTCCTCTCGGCCCCTCCTCCCTCCCTCCCCACTCCCTCCTCCCTGCCTCCCTGCTCTCCCTGCTCCCTCCTCCTCACTCCTCCGCTCCTCCTCCTCCCTCCCTCCCTCCCTCCCATCCCTCCCCTACCCCTCCCCCCCTCTCCCTCCCTAAAACCTCCCTCAGGGCCAGCCGCCCTCCCGTCCCTCTCGTCCCTCCCTAATCCCTCCCTCCCTCCCTCCCTCCCTCCCCCACCTCCCCCGCTCCCCTCCCTCCCTCCCGGCCGAGGTCCCTCCCTCCCTCCCTCCCGCCCTCCCTCCCTCCCGTCCCTCCCTCCCTCCCACCTAACTCCTCCTCCTCCTCGCGGGCCTCCTCCTCCTCGGCTCCTCCTTCCTCCTCCTCCTCCTCCTCCTCCCGCCTCCCTCCTCCCTCCTCCCTCCTCCCTCCCTCCCTCCTACCTCCTCCCTCCTCCCTGCCTCCCTCCAGGGCCCTCCTCCCCCTCCCTCCTCCCTCCCCTCCCTCCTCCCTCCTCCCTCTTCCCCTCCTCCCTCCTCCCTCCTCCCTCCTCCCTCCTCCCTCCTCTCCCCCTCCTCGCCGCGTCGGCCGCTTCGTCAAGCGCAGCGACGGAGCGGTGCGAGGAGTTCAAAAGGCAGCAAGCGCAGCGACGGAGCGGCACGAGGAGTTCAAAAGGCAGCACCAGGACACCGCGCGGCTCTGCGCGGCACAGGGCTTCACTTTCCTCCCCATGGTGGTGGAAGCCCACGGCGGCGGGTGGGGCCGCGAGGCACGCAGGGCCTTCGGGGTCCTGGCCAAGCGGGTGGCTGACGCCACGGGGGAAGACGCCGCACTGGTTGCGGACCAACATGCCCAGCAACTTTCCGTCTCCCTGCACAGGGAGAACGCGCGGGCGGTGTTGCGGCGCCTTCAGACCCTGTCTGGAGGGGCGGGGGTGGCAGCGGCCCGCCTGGCCGCGGCCACGGCGGCCTCCACGGCAGACGCCGTGTGAGGTGCCCCCTGCGCTGCCTAGCGCCCCCGCCCCCCCCCCCCGCCCTTGCTGGGCAGCGCGGGCGCCCCCCTCGCCCTTTCGCCAACGTCGCGCCGGCGACCCTCCCACGCGCCGCCCGGCCTTTCCCCGGCGGGGCGGTGGATGGATCCCGCAGAGGGCAATCCCCACCAAGCCGCATCGCGCTGGGTTCGGGCGGCCACCCCGCCCAGGTCGCCGCCGTAGGGTCCGCAGCCTCGTCGCGGGCGGCTCTTCTCTCCCGGCCCCTGGCCCGGCCTGTCTGCTTGCGGCCGCTGCTTTCTCTCCTCCTTGTCCTCCTCCCCCTCCTCCCCCTCCCTTCGCTTCTGCTCGTTGCTTCCCTCCCTTTCCTTTCCTCCTGCTCCCTGCCTGCTGTCTCCGCCTGGCCCGTCTTCTGCCTGCCCGCCCGCCCCGCCGGCCCTGGCCTCCCGCCTGGGCGTTCGTCGTCGTCTGCCTGCTTCTCCCCTCCTCGTCCCCTTCCGCCGGACAGCACAGCCTGCCCGGAACCAGCGTGGCGGCAGATAGGCGCCTGACAAGCTGTGTCGAAGCGTGGGCGGCGGCCTGAGCGCCCAGCTCTTGGCCGCGCCCCGCGCCCGCCGCGAGGCCGCGCGCTTGCTTTTCGTTAGGTGTTGCGTTGTTGTTGCTAGCGCCCCCTCCTCCCTCCTCCCTCCTCCCTCCCTCCCTTCTCCCTCCTCCCCTCCTCCCTCCTCCCTCCTCCTCCTCCTCCTCCCTCCTCCCTCCTCCTCCTTCCCTCCCCTCCTCCCTCCCCTCCCCTCCCCCCTCCCCACCTCCCACTCCCACCTCCCTCCTCCTCCTCCCTCCTCCTCCTCCTCCCTCCTCCTCCTCCTCCTCCTCTCTCCTCCTCCTCCTCCTCCTCCTCCTCCCCTCCTCCTCCTCCTCCTCCTCCTCCTCCTCCTCCTCGACGTGACATAGCGACTTTCCGCCGCGACTCCCGCGGGCCGCGGGCACAGCACGCTGCCCGGGAAGCGACAGCGCTTGCACGCGACCTGGCGCGGGCAGCCTGCGCGCCAAGGTCGGTGAGGTTCGACACCGCTGCCCTGCGTCGCACACCTGCCTTCCTACAACCCTCGTCAAAATTAGCCTTCAAGATCTCTTACGTGGCTGAACTGCTTGTGGGGAGATGCTGGAAAGAGCCGTGGTGACTGCGAGGTACTTGTATGCGCCGCCCCTCCAATATCGGTCAGCATGGAACTTCTGAGTCGTTCCCGGTCAGACCACTTTAGACTTGGCCCCGACACTGGAGGGGAGTCTATCGGCATTGAAGGGCGCGCCGACATCGCAAGGGCGTGGTCGCCATTCTTCAGGTCAATCTTGACGAGGGTAGTAGGAGGTCCCATTACCCCTGCTGAGGCGGCCGCCCCCCCTTTGCGTCACCCCCCTCGTGCGTGCCGCCAGCTCGGGGGCGGCCCAAAGGGGGGCGTCCAAGAGGCGGGGGGCGCAACTCATGGCCGGCTGCATGTGCGCGGCCCAGGGGCGGGCCGGGGAACGTAATGAAGCAAGAAGAGGCGCCATGAAATCTGGGAAAATATCATGGCCCCCGCCATGATATCCCCCCCCCCTAGTCATCACCCCCCTCTCGGCCGCCCCCGACCCGCTCTTCCCGCGGCCTGTGCGGTTTGGGGTGACCGGGCAGAAGGGGTTCGAGGTCCGCATGTAGGGCACCGCCTGCGGCGTCATGGTCGTCCAGGTGAAGTACTTCGTCCTGCGGGGGGGGGCCCAGACATCCAACGTATTGAAAGACCAACCAGCACACGAGGCCAAGCACCCGACCATCGACGTGGAAGCACTCATGGATCAGGTGTCTTTCATTCGAATAGAGAAGACCCACGACCCGAACGTCGCCAAGCTGGTCATGGGGGCGCACGACTGGCCAGCCCGCAAGTTCGTCATCGACGGGCTCCGCGCCGAGGGGAAGGCTCGCCACCACGTGGGCCCCGCCCCAGCGGGCTGGATGGAAGGAGAGATCTCAGTCTGGCTGGAACACTTCAAGAAGATCGGCGCAGAGCATTCAAGCTGGAGAACCACTTCCAGGCTCGAGCCACCCGACACCAGCACCGATGCCAGCGCCACTTGCGTCAGATGCAGACTACACGGCTTCAGCAGAGGATATTGCGCACAATCCCTTCGAGCATGCTTCGGAGGATGAGTTCGCCGCTGCTGATGAGGCCGCCCAGTTCTTCTCATCATCGCAGTAAGCTGACGCAAGCCCATCCCCCCGAGCTGGAACGGCCACAGTAGTCAGTCTCCACTCGCCTGCTCCCCCCGCCTGCCTCACAGAGACTTCCCCCACTACACCTCTTCCTCTAGCTCAATTTCGTGGCAGGCCTTTTTGACGAGCTCGTCTGGCGCCCTTCCATCGGGCAGATGTCTCAATCTGAACCGCTCTTTCGTTTATCCCAGGAGCTAACAGCATGTCTGCAAGGGCTGAGGAGGGGGGATTATTTTCTAAACCGCTCCCAAGAGGACCGCCCCAGAGGAAGGTTTAGGGTAATCTCCGCTGTTCCGCTTTGACTGCCCGCTATGGCGAGCAGCACCGTTGCAGCGCACAGCCGCAGAAGGCGCGAGGCAGCACCCCCTCGACCGCGGGAGGGCCGCTGCAGCGACGAGCACTACTGTACACTCTTCTTTTAGGCGTTCCCGACATGTCGGCCGAGGCTTCTGTGTCGGTCGGGGTGGCGGGGACGCCCAGCGTGGTCTGGTCCATCGCAGCCTACCTGGAACGTTCAGAGGCTTTCTTCGCTCCCATGTCGTCGTAAAAAAGAACCGGTTCTGGGGAATGGGTCGAGACTTCTGGGGACCCCGTATTGAATCGCCGGCCCAACGGGCCAGAGGCGTGCAAAGATCTCCGGCAACTACTTAACAATATGTCTAGTTCGCGCGCGCGGGGCGGCGGGGGCCCCCGGACGAAAAGAACCCCGGCTGACCCCCGGCCAGGTCCTGGCCGGGTCCCGGGCGATCCCCAGGGGGTAGGCTATTTTTCGCCACCCCTCACGAGGATCGTGGCCTCCGAGGGGGTGGCTGCAATCGACTACCCCCCCTCCCGCCCCCTGGGGCCCCCAAGAGCCCCCTAAGAGGCCCCAGGGGAGCCCAAGAGGCCGCAAAGGAGCCCCAAGACGCTCCCAAGAAGCCCCCAAGAGGCCCCCAAGACGGCCCCAAGAGGCCCCAAACAGCGCTCGTTCTAGGGCCGGTGGAATGAGCGAAGCGATTACATATTGAACAAACCAGAAAACAACACGACATCGGATCTCAGGGGGGCATGGGGTCTGAGCTGGAGAAGCCCAAAGAAACTCCGTCAAGAGGGGGGGATGAAGGCAAACCCCCTCTGAGCGGTCCTCGGACCCCTCCAGGGGTCGGAGCTGCACAACTTGCCGAGCCGCGCCCAGCCGTGGCCGACGAGAGGGGCCCCTTCTCCCCCCGTTCTGCTGGCCCGGGCCCGTGCTGGGCCAGCTTCTTGGCCCTCCTGCCGGCCTTGACCTCCGCCGATGTTTCACGCTTCTTGTTTCCAATCGCGGCTCCAGGAGGTCCCCTGCGATCCGACGTCACGACAAAATGGAAGCAACATGAGAAACCACGACCCCATCTTTCTGCGCCATTTTTCGAGCCGGATCGATCTGTGAGGGTCCCGTGGCCCGAAACTGGGCGAAAACGCCCGGCTCGAAAAATTTGAGTCGCCAGGATCTCAGGGTCCCGTCCCCTTCCCCAAGGGGCCCCTTTGTCCCCCCTCTCTGCTGGCCGGAACCAGTGCTGGGCCACCTCTTTGCTGCCCGTTCCATAGGAGCCCACGTGGCCCCCGACGCTGTCCGAGTCGGGCCCGGTTTGGGCCCGATGTGGAACACATGTGGAACCAGATGTGGGCCGGATTTGGACCACAGTCGGCCCCATCACACAGGAGATGCGACGAGCGAGGAGGGGGAGGGGGAACAGGAAAAACGGGGGGGGAGCTGAAGGAAGTCCAAATGCGGTCCAAATGTAGGAAATGCTGCGTTCAGTGTCGGCGTTCAAGGGTTCCATGAACGGGCATGGAACGATTAGCAATGCAGGGCCCCCTCATCCCTTGGAAGGGAACCTAAGTTAGGGGGTTCGAAACATCAGGGAGTGTGGGCCTTTTTTTTCTGCACATGTATCGAGCGAAACCGCCCAGATCCATTAATTACCCCTAATGCAGAGACGGGGCCCTGAGTGAGGCCACGTCTTCATCGTGCTCTTAGGTTGGTTTACTCCGAGTTTCTTAATAAGCGTCGGGGGGGGCGTCACCCCCGCCGACAGCCCCACATCGACCCCCGTGGTGGGCAGCCACCGCGCGCCGAAGGCGCTCCGACCCCCGTCGCGGCGCGACAAGGCGAGGACGACCCCCGTCGGGGGGGTACCCCCCACTCGCTTAGTGAAAAACCCAGCGTGGGGGTTCTTCTGCTCTCGATGATCGAACACCTCAGAGTAGTTAGGTCGGGCCTGTCCCGCTACAGGGGGATTTGGGCGACAAATAAAAAAAACACCAAACATCCCCCCCAACTGCCCAAAAATGCTCGAAGCATCGTCCCCAGAATATGTTTTGACTGTATTTGGATACTCCTCCTGTAGAGGGAAGGCCCGACTTAACCTCAGATCCCCCCAGCCAGATCCAGCTTCGTCCTGCGGGGCGAGTACTCGGCCTCCGCGGCCTGGGCCGGCGGCACTCTCTGGACGAAGCCGTGGCTGCGCTTGTCGAAGGTGTCCTGCAGCGTTGGCACCAGCCTCTCGGGTCGAGCAAAGAGGGTGGGCATAGCAGAGGCGGGGTGAGCCAATCTACTCGCGTACCCAGACCCCCTCGCGTCGTGACATTTTGCTGTCCCTCGACTCGCGCTGGAGCGTCCAGGATCTGATCCAGATGGCCCTGGAGACGCCTGTATCTACCCAAACCTACCTGGACTTACTCCGCGCTGTAGCTGGACTTGCCACGACTGATCTGGCTTGGCCCCCGCGAGTCGGTTGGAGAAAAATCGCGAATCCTTTGGGGAGTCCAGCCCGAGCCTCTGGTTCGCCATGATCGCGCCCCGAGCCTTCGGCCCCATGTAGAACTGGTAGTGCCAGTCCTCGTCGGCGCGAGCAGGAGGGGCCGTAGAGGATCACAAGCCGAGTCATACATGGTCAGGCATCCATGTTGAACGCGAGGGGCATCCAAATCGTGGGAACAAACATAGACTTATAGACTGAAGACTAGAATGCAACCCACGGAGGCTCGTGGTCGTCCCATTAGCGCGCCCTATCGGGCGCAAAGCGGACAGAATGCATCCCCCTCGCATGGCGCAATTGGGCGCTATTGGTAGCAATTGAAGGCTATTTGAACACGATCCGGTGCCACTGGGCACACTTGTCTCTCTCTCTCTCTCTCTGTCGTTGTTTCTCTCTCTCTCTCTCTGTCTCATTATAGATAGATAGATAAGTAGGCATATAAATATATGTATATACATATAGATAGATATATATATATATATAGATATATAGATCTATATACATATAGAGATCAACATCTACATACACACACATATACATACACATATACATACGCATATACATATAAATATGAAAACATGGTCAAACCCCCACCACCACCACCAAACCACCCGAACCAGAAACTCTTCACTGAACGTTTGCTCGTTGTCGTCATCAACATCAACACCAGTATCCTCATGAGCATCATCATCATCATCATCATCATCATCGTCGCCATCATCATAATCATCATCATCGCCATCATCGTCAATATCATCAGTATCATCAGCACACTCATCCTCACCACCATCACCATCACCACCATCGTCATCGTCATCGTCATCCTCATCCTCATGCTCCTCCTCCTCTTCCTCATCAGCATCAGCATCAGCATGATCATCATCATCATCATCATCATCATCATCATCATCATCGTCATCATCAGCAGCATCGTCATCATCATCGTCATCATCACCATCATCATCATCATCATCATCATCATCATCATCATCATCAACATCACCATAATCATCATCATCATCATCATCATCAGCATCAGCACCAGCATCAGCATCATCATCGTCATCGTTGTCGACCTCCGAGGCGGTGGGGGGGGGGCCTTCACACGGCCATGAACTGCTGCCGAGCATGTCGCTGCGGCCCGGCAACACGCTAACCGCCTTGCGAGCGTGCAGCGTGTCGCTTGTGTCGCTCCGCTCGGCGAGCTGGGAGGCTAGGAAATGGTCGGCACTAGAGGAAACTCCTCCTCCTCCTCCTCCTCCTCCTTCTCCATCTCCTCCTCCTTCTGCTCCTCCTCTCCTCCTCCTTCTCCTCCTCCTCCTCTCCTCCTCCTCCTCCTGCTCCTCCTTCTGCTTCCTTCTGCTCCTCCTCCTCCTCCTCCTCCTTCTGCTCCTCCTCCTCCTCCTCCTCCTCCTCCATCTCCTCCTCCTTCTGCTCCTCCTCGTCCTCCTCCTCCTCCTGCTTCTGCTCCTCCTCCTCCTCCTCCTCCTCCTCCTCCTCCTCCTCCTCCTCCTCACCGATCCTGGCATGGCCCGTCCTTGGCCCAGGATCCGTGCATGCGCTCTCCTGACTTGGCCAAGCGGAGCCGCATGCGCAGGCCCTGGGCCCACTGTGGGCCTGGCCAGGATCGGTGCGGCTCTCTGCTCCGGAGGGGCGGGGACGCCCGGGGAGTGGGAGCCGGGACGACGGGCAGCGCGTCGGGCCGCGGCGTGGTGGGCCAGAGCTGGCGTGAAGCCAAGGGGCCCTGGAGGGGCCCCCGGAGGGCCCCTTTTTTGGCCCCCGCTGGCTCGAAAAGGGGCCCGAAGGGGCTCCTTTGGGGCCCCTGTCCCTCACCCCGATTAGGGGGCCACATGCGAACCCTACCCCACCCTCCCCGTCAGACATCGTGGGGGGTAGGGGTAGGGTTCGCATGTGGCCCCCTACCGATTTTGGGCCCCCCCCCCACTTCCACCCCCCCGAAGTTCCTGACCCTATCATCCTCCCGTTGTGGAAACGCGGGGAGGCCTCCCAGACCCGCCCCCCAGCCGCAAGCTCTGCCTCCCGCCCCCCAGGGTCCGTGGAGGGCGGGCCCCCCGAGCCCGAGGAGGGGGCCCAGGGAGACACAAGGGAATAGATACAAGTTCCATGAATTCAAACAACCGCGTTTCAACATTTTCTGAGTTTTCGTCTTCCCCGCCGCTTGCCAGATGTTCCAGTACTTCTCCGGGGAGTCGGCGGTTCTGTGTGTCTGTGTCTACTTGTCCGTCCTGACCCAACCCTACATGCCACCAGCGAGCGCAGCGAGCGCGCGAGAACCCTGGTCTGTTACGTGGGGGGCGCGTTCTATCTCAACAAGGAAAAATAGGAGGGAAGCTGAGGAAATGAGAGCGGACCTGCCACCAGCGAGAGGAGCGAGCATGCGAACCCTGGTATGTTCCGTGGGGGGCGTGCGTTTTGTTTTGGGGGGGAGGGGAACAAGACAGAACAGTAGGAGGCAAGGGGATCGACTACAGAATCGATTCAACCCAATATGCATTCCCCGCCGAATCTATGAATAAATACACAGAGTGCTCAGTAAATCTACGGAGCACTCTACGCATTTTGAACCGGCTCGGCGGACAACCAATGTTGGGAAAATCAATTCCGTAATTGATCCCCTGCTCGAGAAAATCAGAGGGACGCTGTGTGACGAGAGCGGGCATGCCACCAATGAGCGCTACGTGGGAGGGGCGCTTGTTTTATAACAAACTAAACCATTAAAAGGACCTGCCGCCAGCGAGCGCAGCGAGCGCGCGAGAACCCTGGTCTGTTCCGTGGGGGGCCCTTGCTTTTTAACAAAAATGATGCCGTTACCCAGACCCCCGACGTCATGATGTTTCATTACGTCGACCCCTGGAGATCTCGACCCATTCCCCTGGACCCGTTTTTCATCCTGAGTCGTTTCTTGACGGTCCCGAGGGCCCGTAAGGACCCCCAGAGGCCGAAGAATAGCGAAAAACCTTTCGTTCTGATTTTGTCCATTGCCCGAGGGGGTCTGGCTGAAAGGACCTGCCACCAACGAGCGCAACGAGCACGCGAGAACCCTGGTCCCGTTCCGCGGGGGGGGGAATGCGCCTTCCGGCCGCGGCGAGGCACGTGGCAAGCACGGGCGAAGGCCACCCAAGGACGCCCCGTCTCGCCAAGGAGAG